CTAGGCACAAGTACTTATGCGGTGGAGAATATGGTGGCAAAATTAGTTATTTTATTAATTGTAATTTACTTAAGTTTGAGAAACACAAAAGGCTAATTAATTAATTAATTAATTAATCTTATGTTGTAGAACCTTAATTTCATTAACGCTACTAAATTTGGTTAAGAACCTTTATTTAGCCACCTTATGTTATTTTTATTTAAGGAAAAGGTCAAGAATACTCCTTATGTACTTTGTTTTTGAGGCAATACTCCTTATGTACTTATGATGTCTATAAAATTGTTCTAAAAAAAAATCCCAAACGAAAAGAAAAGAAAAGAATGCAAAAGTAAACAATAATACAGAAAAATTGATAAAAACATGAAAGAATAATCTACAAAATCTTGTTAGTACGTACAAGAAGAAAAGTAAAACAGATGAAGCATTTAATCCAAGTAGCAGGTAAATAAATTACAGTAATTAAAGAGTACGTATGTAAGATAAGTAAGTGAAATAAGTGTAATTTGACTGAGGAGACAAAGTAGTTAATTAACGGTCTCAGTGCTTCGAGCACTGTAAATTGCAGCTTCAATTAATCAAAATCCCTCCATTTATGATCAATGGAGAAATAATAATGTTGCATTTATTCACCTTTTAGTTTTTCTAGAGATTTTTACCCCATTTTTCGTGGTCAAGTGTCTGCATGCATGTTTTACCCCCCCCCCCCTCTTGTCCCTCAGTAGTCAAAGATTGTCCATCATAGTTGAATCAAAGATTGTTGATAATTATCATTATTTACTCCTATTACTCTCTCCATCCCTAAAAGAACAATTATTTTGGTCAAAATTTTCATTCCATTTGCATTAAAATACCCTCCAATTTGCTATAATATTTGTGTAAAATTAGCTTCCTAATGTAAATTTTGTTTTTTCCAAATATTTTTACTCCCTCCGTCCCCTTTTGACAGTCCCTTGTGAATTTTTTTCACTGGAATTAATAAACACAAATAACAATAGTTAAAGTACATTGAAAAAGTAAATTGACATTTGATATGCAAAAAAGTAGAGAGAGAAAGTAATAAAAGTACATGAAAAAACAAAATTTATATGGGAAATTTAAATTTGCACAAGTATTGTTGCAAATTGGAGGGAATTTTGGTAAAAAATTTAATATTAATGGTTGTTGGAAAGAGCAAATGGGATGAACATTTTGGGACTAAAATTTGCCCATAAGGGACTATCAAAAGGGGACGGAAAGAGTATTATTTTTTCTCTCTACTTTTTTTTTACAAATCTCATATAAATTTACGTTTTCAAGGTACTTTATTAGCCTTCCCATACATTTATACTTCCCACTTAAGTTTCTTAATATTAGTAAAAATTGCCCAAAAAGGTCATTCTTCTAGGAACGAATGGATCAGAGTAGCATCAATAATAGTAATCATATCATAATACTACTTTTAAATTTAGGCCCTATTCTTTTGAGCTATTTTGCTTTGCTTTGTCCTGCTCAACTCTGCTGAAATCTACTCTTTGACAAGCTATATACTCTACTTAAATTTATTCTGCTTCCTTGTAGTGCATTGGAAGCCCTACTCTATTCTACTCTGCTAAAATCTGCTCGCTAACTCTAATTCTGCTAATCTCAAAAGATCATGGCCTTAGTTAAGTGAGCTAAAGCAGTCGATTGAAATATTATTTGAATGTATTTTTTCTAGCTTAGATACCATTCATGAAATAATACAATACAATGTTGTACACCTTGTACAATTGTTCTAGTAGTGAAGTGAAATTGCAAAATGCACGTTATTATACAACTACAATTGAGAACCAAGGTTGGCCTAGTGATTTGAGATCCTTCTATAGAAAGGGTTCAATTCTCATTAAGTGGGATAGATTGCTAATTTAGCCTCTATGTACTCCCTCCGTTTTTAAATACTTGCTCCACTTTTCTTTTCTAGACGTTTTTAAATACTTGCTCCATTTCCTTTTTTGAAAAGATTTTATAATATTTAATTCATTTATCACATTTAGTGGTTCCAATATAATACTCTATCTCCTCCGCGCATGGAGAAATGAAGCAAATATTTAAAAACGGAGAGAGTACTGTTTTACTTGTAAAAGAATTATCCTCACCTTTGAAAAAAAGTACGGCACAAATAATTCCTCCAATACAAATAGAATGGTGCAATTTTAGGAGAGAGAGAAGAGACAAAAGATAGAGGTGGGGCTTTAAGTAAGGTAGCTGGGGTATGTGAGGCGGAGTTAAAATTGACAGTTCATCATAAGTTAATTAGACCAATGCTGACAGTGGCGTGGGCAGTCAGTCCAATCCCTCATTTTCACTCGATCTATTATCTATTCTAAATGCTACCTATTGTATAATCTAATTACATACTGATACTATCACCTAGCTCACTGCCATTGCTACGAGTACCATATAACATCTCCATCATCCTACATATCTGCATTACGGCCGGAGTACTATACAGTATTCAACTTCGTTGTTTATCGATCCCAACTTCAGATTACTCGTATACGATGAATAAGAAACCTATCGTTGAATCCTCATTTGAATACGGAGTACTCGTAATATATAGTTTCATTTTTATGTCGTTTAAAACTTGTTTTGGTGCATATCAATTTCATTTCCTAATTAAGGGTCTGTTCTGATTGACTAAACTTAGCTGAACTGAACTGAGCTTATTAATTAGTGATTTTTAACTACGGATTAGTGATATTTGATTATTTATTACTATACATATGTGTATATACAAATGTACATATTATTATTAATATTATTATTATTAATTATTATTATTATTATTATTATTTATTGATTATTATTATTATTATTATTATTTATTGATGATTATTATTATTATTATTTATTGATTATTATTATTAGTATTATTATTGTTATTATTATTATTATTATTTATTGATGATTATTATTATTATTATTATTTATTACTTTTTGATTATTATTATTATTGTTATTATTATTATTAATAATATTATTATTGTTATTGTTATTATTATTATTATTGTTGTTGTTGTTGTTGTTGTCGTCGTCGTCGTTGTAATAAGAGCTTAAAAGAATGAAATTTGGCTTTATATCATTAGCAATATCATTAGACGTAAATTAAGAGCTGAGCTGAATTGAACTGAGCTGAACTGCGCTGAACTGAACTGAACTGAATTTCAACGGAAGAGAACATGCCCTAAGTTTATGTATTAATAAAATCAATACTCAAAGACATGTCGTTGTGCATTTTTTTGAATCTATGCTTGTGCTCTCACTTGTTAATTAATCATTAATCAATTTATTATGGACACGAATTTTAATTTTGCAAAAGGCGACTCATATATAAGGGTATGTTCCGATTTACGATTAAACTGAATTGAATTGATATGATTAGAGCCGAACTAAACTGAAATTAAGCTGAACAAAACAGGCCAAATTACAGGATGAGGTCCAATGGGGGAGTTTTATATTATAAAAATATAGTTAATGGGATATATTTTAAGGGTAATGCTATTCATGTATCCACATTAGTATGATACTGTCCGCTTTACGCTTAACCTACACAGATTTTTTTTGGGCATCTTTTCAAAATGCCTCATACTATTTGGAGTGTGCTTCAACTTATAAGGAGCTTATTAATTCCTTAATCTTTCCATGTGGGACTTAGGATGAACAATAGTGTTTAGAGAGTCACAAGCACGAGTAATAAGAATTGATCTCAAGATCACCAAGACCGGAAGGGAAGCTTTAACCACTTGAGCTAATCCTCTCTCTCAAAAATAATACGAAGTAATAATAATAATAATAATAATAATAATAATAATAATAATAATAATAATAATAATAATAATAATAATAATAATAATAATAATAATAATAATAATAATAATAATAATAATAATAATAATAATAATAATGTTATACATAGCCCTTAGGGCTACATATAAGCATTAAATTTACACTTGAAAATCGTAAAAAGTTAAGAAATCATTAAAATATAAACACTAATAATATTGATTTACGCGTGTTTTTGTCATAAATTCCTAATTTTATGGAATAATTGGATCATTATCTTTAATAAATTGTACCATTCTAATGCATACTATAAAGATTGAATGTGTCAAAACAAAAATAATAATAATAATAAATAAAGACTGAAAAATCGGGAGAAAAACAATCAGAGATGATTTTTTAAGAGTTTAAGTATGCGCTACTAGCAAGTCATTATTTCAAAAGAAGAAAAAAAAAAACATTAATGTTGAAGGATCCTTACCTTAGCTTCACATAGAAGACCCCTTTTAAAGCATAAAATAATTTTTGAAAAATATTGGTCATGACTAAATTTGATACTCATATTAATTAGGATCTCTATGTAAGATCTGATGGATTTTAAGTACTTTTAAAATTTATTACAATTGTTGTTAATTTATTATCTTTGCAAGAATTAATTAACAAACTTATTAACCTTAACACATTCTTTATTTTTTTTAAAACTTAATACGTACCATACGGTGATCGATAGTAGTGATTAATTAGGATCTCATACGTTGAAATTCAGTTATGTTCAGTTCACTTCAATTCAGTTCAGTTCACTTCAATTCAGTTCAGTTCCTAATTTCCTTCTCTTATAAAATATTCATTTCTTGATTAATTAGGATCTCATACGTTGAAATTCAATTCAGTTCAGTTAAGCTCCTAATTTCCTTCTCTTATAAAATATTCATTTCAGTTCAATTCAATTCAGCTTAGTTCAGTTCAACTGAGTTCAGTCAATGAAAACAGGCCCTAAAATACCCTTTAATTTTCCTAAACTAATTAGACATTGCTCTATTATTTCAAGGTTATTATTTTCCACTACCTAAAACAAATTGAAAATTGTGTAAACTAAGATAAGCTAAGGCAATGACAAATGCATCCTAAATTAAACAAACAAACCCAAAATTTCAACTTTTCAAGTAAGAAGCTTAGAATAAAAAGGTATTGTCACATTACAAACTAATTAAGGTAGATCACATTTGTCATAAATTAGTTTTTGTCTCTTGTACATACTACAATCTCCTCCACCATGGTATACTAGCTTTCATATTAATTGGCTATATATATCCCAAACCCCTTTTCTAGCAACCTCTACTTTCTCTCTCTACCCCATAAAACCTCACCTCATTTAGTCATTTCTCCTCCTTCAACCCCTCACTCCTTGATGAATTTCACAAGTTCACCCACTTTCACCCCTTAACACCCCATTTTTACAACCTATAAATCACATCCACCTCATTTTACACCCACCAAACAATGATGTCATCGGAGAACATCCCTCCGGTGGCACACCCTTCAGATCACAACAACAACGCCGGCACCGCGAACGCCCGAAAACAAACATCTCAAAAACCCCCAGAACAACCACTTGCTCTCAAGTGCCCTCGTTGTGATTCCGCCAACACAAAATTCTGCTACTACAACAATTACAGCCTAACACAACCTAGACACTTTTGTAAGACTTGTAGAAGGTACTGGACTAAAGGTGGGGCCCTCCGTAACGTCCCCATCGGAGGCGGTTGCCGTAAAACCAAAAAACACAAACCCTCTAACTCATGTCCACCCTCATCTATATCCAATTCCTCACGCTTCGATCTGTCGGCGGGGCCAGGAAGTTCCGAGTTTAAGTTCCTGGCCCCGCCAACAGTGGCCCCTGCCATGGAGTTTCAGCTGGGTGGGCTCTCCCTCCCTAGGCTCCACCCAGCTACGGCGGGGGTCTACACCCAGTTTATCGCCAGTTCCGGGGCCCACCACCCGCCTGTGGGCCTCGGTACTGGAGGGTGTTTTAGTTTGGACTTGTTGGGTATAAGTGGTAACAATAACTACCCAACAATTCCAAACTCAGGAAACTCCTCTTCCTCCTCCTCGTCCTCGTTATCTCTCGCTGGCGGCGGCGGTGTGGGTGATCAATCCATTTCTATCTCCTCAATCGAGTCGCTAAGCTCGATTAATCAAGAGATGCACTGGAAGCTACAACAACAAAGACTCGCCATGATCTATGGACAACCAACAGTTGATAGTCAAATCGACGAAAACAGCAACAACAACAATCATCAAGATAAAGGGCTATCTATAGGAGGAGGAGGTATTAGTTTGTTCAAGAGTTTAGATACCACCAGCAGAAATAACAATAATAATAAAATTGATGTGGGTGGTCCTACTGAATGGTTATTTGATCAACTTCAAACAAATTCTAGTGCTAATTACGCTGATAATCACAACACTAATAATAACAATAATTCAAATGTGGGTGTTACGACTACAAATTGGAACAATAATGAAGATTATTTTAACGGTGTTTGGACGACGGCGGAGTTGCATCATCACCATCATCAGTTTAACGGACTGCAGTAGATGATTGTAGAAAGAGAAGCAAGAAGAGAGTATGGTGGCTGGTAAGAGGTCAGCAAAGATGTCATTAAATTAATTAATTAATTAATTATATGTAGTTTAAATGATGAGGTTAGATTAATTAATTTTAAGAGTAGTTTGTTTTAAAGTTTAATTAATTAGTACTATAAGTACTTGTAAGTAAAAAAAAAAAAAGGTAACCTTTTGTAAGACTGTTGAATTATGCTGGTAAAATGAGAAATCAATGTTACAGAATTTTTATTTTGTGTTATTTCCCCTTTTACTGACTTTTGATTTTTATTTTAATTTTTTTGGTATAGAATTGCTTGGGATTTGGGATAAAACTAGTAACTGTTTAAGAACTTGGCTTTTTCCATGGATTAATAGGAAATGAGGGAAGAAACTGATCCTGAATTCCTGTTTTTATGTTTTAGAATTATTTTTATAAAAAATGCTCTTTTTGTTAGATTGTGACATAACAAAAATTACTTGCAAAGATTCTCTATTACCTTTTCATAAAAAAGGTGTTAAGTATTCCATCAAAAAAAAAAAAAAAAATTGTAATTGTATGTGATCTTGCTCTTTTCTTGTGATTCTCTATTACCTTTTTGTTAGATTGTAATATGTTTATTTTTAAGGCACTCTTGTTCTCTTTTACGTGTTTTAAATTTATCATCTCAAGATATGATTTAAATTATCTTTTTCTGTAGCTAATAAAGGTGTTGATTGTCGTCTTATTAGTTTAAATTACACTATTAAAATGATACGGAGTATTCATATATGTATGTAGTCACACTATTAATACACCAGTAAAGTGTTGTATCATTAGTCACATTATTAGTTCGAATTACACTAATAACTAGACGCTATTTGTGAAACAAGAAACATGCATGAAGTAATGAATTATGCATGGTATAGTAGTGTTGGTAATTCCAAAGCTCTTTATTCTGGGATCAGTGCTAGAAGAATTGCATTGGGTTTTGTTAAAAAAAACCTCCATATCTTGTTGGTAACATAAACAATCTAGCTTGAACATCAAGCTTATTACTAGACCATATCTTAGCTAGCTTACATTAATATTTGTATTATTCTAATGTATGGTTTGTATAATGTTGCATTGAGTCAGAATTATCATCTTCTATGAAAGTAGAAAGTAGAAAGAGAAAGAAAGAAGCAGGGATGCAGGCAGTCTACAAGTAGTAAGATTCTGTAAACAGACAGCAGTCAATTAAGCAGACAACACTTCTATCACATTCACTCACCCCTTTTTTGTTATTACTACTCACCTATCTATAAATAAACTGTCATAATGCTAATGCATTGGGTTTCCCATTTATTTTAAAAAAAAAAAAAACAATGTTGGAGTTTTGTAATTAATTGTAATTTTATTGTCTCAAAAAGTGGAGGCTTCTGTTGAGTTAATTTAAGCACTGTCAACATCTGACTATTACTACTACTTGTATATCATAGCCAAGATAGTGATATTAATGATACAGAAACTATAGATTTTGATTCTAGGTCTCTAGGGTTTCTTCCCCTTTTAATGTTTTGCATTATTGATTTGCAAGAAGGGTTGTATAAAAATAACAGGGGAAGTAAATAATGTATCAAGATGTTGTTCGAATCAGATATTTTTAGGGAATAAGGATAGTTTTAAAAAATACTCGCGAAATAAAATTGTCATATTTTATGCATCATTCACAACATTTTTATATCAATTACTTTTATATACACCTGGTTTTCAGTTCACTTTTGTCAAATTCAGTGTCACTTTTGTCAAATTTAGTATCACTTTTGTCAAATTTATCAATGAAGCATAAAGAACTCTTATATATGTCACAGTAACCTTTGTGCGTTTTAGTGTAACTTTTGCGCCTTTTATAGTCACTTTATAACGGATGTTCAGTAATTTACTGAGCATCCGTTTTATTTAAAAGTTTGTGTTTTTATATTGAGGTATTATTTAATTGCTATTTTGATATAATAATGCATTGACAAAATATGGTTTGGAGATTTGTGATGGCATGATTTAGAGGGAGTAATTAATAATTTAAAATTAATATATGCGAAATATGAAGAATAAAAAGATGTTTTGGGCTTAGCTATTGCAAGGGAATCTTGGAGAATGAGCCCAAAGCATAAACAACAGCTGCATCTAATTCTGCTGATTCTGTTGTTAAATAAAAAATACTTGTATATTGAGAAAGAGATAGGAAAAAAAACAAAAGGAAAATTGAAAGAGAAAGAAAATTAAGATTAAGGCCTTTTTGCTTTTGCTTTCAACACTTCGCCTTTTGCTTTTGAATATATTTTCTAATTTCATTCTTTATTTCAAAGAATTAGAACTATACTTTAAAATGTCAACAAAATTTAGCATTTTAAATAACTAAATAAATTGAAATATAATGATCCAATCAACTTTATAATATAATGTTCTCTGTCATTTCAAATTTCAAAAAAGAACAAAAAAGTGACAATAATCTTAGTACTAACGAGTATAAAATACACTTTATTATAAGCTTTTACATGGTATATAATTTGATGTATTATCTATATTTACATGCATGCAAAAACTTTCCTAAAGAACAAATAGTCCTTTAAACTTTTTGGTAGGTTCCTCTCCTTTTTTAGATGATGTAATGTAAAATCAGCTTATTTCATTCCCATACCTTTATTTTATTTTCTCCCATAATCATAATAGGTATAATTCCAACCTTTTTATACATCACTATATCACATAAAATTAAAAATCAATAACTAAAAAAAAAAAAACAAGCAGCAAATAATGGAGTTGGCAAGTGGAAAGCCCTAACTGAAAAGGAAGGTAAGATTATGTCTTTTATGGGTTTGGAATTACTTGTGTAAGGGAACAAACAGGTTGTTGTAACGTTAAATTAATTTGAAAATTAATTAGTAAAAGGCTCTTAATGTGATGGTTTGTTGCCAAACAGCCTTTTTCACCTGGTCTCTTTACCAGCAATGTGTTAGTAGTTGCTGTAATATATGTTACAAGTATCTTACGACTTACGGTCCACTAATTTTGAACAAACCTCTAAACATAACTCACTTGGCTATAAAAAAATATAAATAAATAAGCACGCATATTTTACATTTAAATGGGACTTAGGGGCTGTTCTCATAGACTGAACTCAGTTATAAAATGAATTAGTAATGATAAATAACAAGTTATGATCACATTTTACATATAGTGGGACTCAAACTGCAAAACTATCCTACCACCAACATGTATATCACACATTTGCGTAGTGTGAGGGAGTTAGCTAGGAGTCTGCGTGCAAAACACAATCGACATACATACAACTTCCATATGCGTTCTTGTGTTACTTGTTTGATATACTTCATTCATACAATCATAAGTACGGTGCACCCGATTAATTAGTATAGCTAACACAATATTTAAACTCCCGATTAAGGATATAACATATGAATTGTTCGGAACGAAACAACAAATCACATGTGGTGAAACGTTGTGTGGCGGGTGATGAAGATCTGAAGTGGGGATAGATGGAACAAGAAGCAAGCTAAGAATTAGGGCAGAGCATGCATGATGAACGTGAAAGATTCACAACTTGAATGGAAAAAACTTTTTTAACCAGTTAGCTAGCTTAGGGATCATTCATGTGATGCATCAATCTTGATATTGTTTATATGTGATGTTACTGTCATTTTCAAAACCGTCAATCCCTAGTTCACAAAACGCAAGAAGTTCATGACATATCATATAATATATAGTTGTATGTCCCACAATTATTACATACTATAATATGATATGAACATTATATTATACAACAACAACAATAAACATTATTCAATCAATCAGAAACAAACTGAACTGTTACTCTACATTTATACTTGTTATTGTATCATATATATGGACCCACACACCTTCATTTAATTTATTTTGTACGTAGGTAAAATTTAGTTGCATAAATAAATGTAATTGAATGAAGAAGCCAAAAATTACACTTCATGATCGAACAACTAAATTCATTAAGTTCAAGCGGCTCTTTTATGATATTGCATCACAAGAATTATTACCACAGTAGTAGTATAGTACCTCTACCTTAGTAGCAATGGTATTTTTTTTTAATGTTTTTTTTTAATCATGGCTCAATAATCAATGCAAATTGATTAATGATTTTCAGAGTTTGATTATTATATTCTTCTTATATGAAGGGTTTTAACATGTATGCATGCATGGTACAACCGGTACAAGTAATTCAACAAATAACTGCCTACTTCCTCCGTTTTTTTACTTGACCTGATTCTTTTATCATGTTTGCCAATGTAAAACTTTAACGGTTAATAACTTTAATTCTCCAAAATTAAAAAATATAAAAGTTATATATTATGATAGTACTTATTGAGACGAATTCAAAATGATCCAACATAAATATATTTTTCCTTACATATTATTCACAAAACACGGTTAAAGGAGGGGCGGTGAATAGTGTAAAAGTCAAAGCGGGTCACGTAAAAAAGAACGGAGGAAGTATATTTCTAAGGAAGAAACTTATCTATCGGGCCTACATTAAGGGGATTTTAATTGTTTATGTAGTGTAACCGTGTAAGTAGTAGGAAGTATAATAGTTGTATTAGATATTCTCCTCAATCCATATTATTCTAATTTAATCATCACATTTTTCTTTTGCACCCATCTCAATTTTGTTATTATCAATTATTTTTAAGGAATTGGCTCACTGATTGTCGAATAATAAAAGCTAAATAAAATTAAAATTGTAATTTAAAGGTTTACTTGTTTTTACAAGTCTTGGAAGCTAAATAAAATACCCTGCCCTAACTCTAAAAATATATGTATTTAATCAACCACATTGTTTAATTAGAGATACTATTATTACTCATGTTATTGAACTAGAAAGGTTAGATAGCTTGTGTTAATGTATCAAATAATGTAGGACACAAACATAAAAAAATGTGTTAGCAAAGCATGGAAGAGACATAACAAAGGATGTCAGCTTCATAATTGTTAATCTAAGAGACAGTAACAAATATTTGTTGGGGAATATTTGTCATGTTGTGATTTTGTAACGACTAGCTTGTTTTTAAACGGTGGAAACGTCCACCCTCTAAACGAGAAGAATGCATACGCTCATCATATCGCTCAGAAACTTGTTTCCTTCTTTGTCACCTTCTATTCAGTTTTTTTTGAAAAGAGGAGAAACAATCAATTAATTAAATTTATTATACTATATATTTTTCGGTTTGGGTCAATTTTGGTTTGGGTTGAAATATGGTTGTATAAATTTTAGACCCGTCAAGAGTGTTGGTTAGGCTTTGAAAATTTAGGTGACCGGCTTTGGGATTAGAAATGAAAGGAGTGTGTTCGCGCAAGGATTAACTTGAACAAGCATATACACCATCTTCTGTTGTGTGATAGACTGTGAAAAGAATACTTCAAAGTGACTTAAACTAGTTAAGAGAAAAGTAAAAAAAAATCACTTAAAATAGATATGAAACACACTGAGTAGCTCAACACAAAGATTACACACTACAAAGACAACATAAGTTAGTTGCCTGATAAACTGTTAGCTATGTGCCTATTTGAGTTCTACTGTAAGAAGTATTAGTTCCATATCCTCTTCTTGGCTACTACCTTTTCTTTGGTATCTTTTTCTCTAGTAATTCTACTGTGAACAAGGGGCCTCTGAGGAGGGGCGGCTACAGGTCTCGTGGTCTTTGTGACTCGAGATATTGGCTTAGGAGGGTCAGATTTCCTGATCTTCTTATCATGGAAAGGAGCTGGAGCGGGTATTTGGTTC